TTTACACTTATTTTTACTGAGAACCCTTTATACGAATAGCATGAGAATTTTCTACAAACCATAAATGTGAACTGTGTTGGTTGAAAATGTCAACTTAAGTAAAAACAGCCTCGTTAGTTAATAAAATATTTTTTTAAAAATTTAGATTAATCGAGATCTTATTAATAATGTTTTGTGAAAAAATCAACCTTGCAGTATAGTCGCGTGGCAATAAATCTTGGACTCATTGGCAATGATAACAGTGCATATTGTTTTGATGTAATATTCTCCATTAAAGCTCTTTAAATATTTACCAGTTTTTTTCAAACGACGATATGTGGTTGAGGTACTCTATTTCGAGGAAATCGTTCAATTCATAATCTAGGAGCGAGATTGTAATTTCCATCAACTAAACCTAATGATAATACATTTTTACAATTGCATATAAATGTCATGCACGCCAGTTCAAATTAAGATATGCAGTCGATATTTAATATTTAAAAACAATCACTATTATTATATGTTATCGGTATTAAAATTACTATAAGCCTTATTAAATTATTTCAATTTCGTGTATGAGAAATAATTTTCATCAAACTGGTTTTTGTTTATAATCTAGTAATATTTTTTATGATAATTATTAGTTAAGATTAATTTAAATTTAAGTATACAATTTAAACACCATGATTCTAATAAGAGTTAATATTTTAGCAAAAAAAGTTACCACCCACTAGAACTAGAAGATCAATTACTCCAAGTTCATCATCTGTTCATAGCAAAAAGTCACCGTTTAGCAATGGTAGACAAACTAGAACATGTACCCTAGGTGATCAGCCATCAACAGTTATAGGTAAATATAGTTCATTAAAATAAAATGTAATGTAAGACTTGTGATATATAACAATATAAGCAAGTAAACTATATTTATACAATTGTATTAATAAAATAATTATTGTCAGTTATTAAAAAAAAAAAACATATATATAATCAGTTTTTCAGGTACAAATATATATTTTTGAAAATACATTAGTTCCTATGTTTTATTAATTATTTATTTCCGTTTTTTAGAGAATTCAGATTCGGAAAGTGAATTTCCTAGAAACTTAGGAATGACAAAACAATATAATAAAAGAAATCAACAACCCAAAACTATTAAATCTGAACATAATGCTGCTATTAAGACAGAAGTTTTAGTTACTGATAATCAAAAGAAGTCAATGTATCCTAAAACATATCCTAGTAAAGAAGTGCTTATGCAACGCAACATACCAAAAAAATCAAAATCGTGTGTCTTTAAAGTTCATAGTAATAAATCTGAAGAAATCGAACTATGTGAACAAGTTACTCTTAAAGCGCCGCTTGATTTAAAATCTGAAATGCCACCACCTACAAATATAATATCCAATATAAAGAAAGAAAATATAGAAATAAAAAATGAAGATAATATTTCAGTTAATGCTACAATTGAAGAAGAAAATGCTATAATTAATTACGTGTCATCAAAAGAAGCATTAGAAAAAAATGACCAACAAAATATAATATATGAAACTCCAAGTAGCATTGATGGAAAAAATGAAATAAATATTGAGACAACAACATCACTATCAAAGTCTCAAGCCACAAGTGTTATCTTTTACAAATCATCTTCTGAAGATAAAGAGTCAGTTCAATTAAAAATACCATGTGAAGAACTATCCTTGCCTTTAAGTAACCAACCTGATGAATCAAAAATATCTGGCACCGATTTTGATCTTAACGAAATAAGATCAGAAATGAAAGGTCTTTTGCCAACATCAACTATTAGTAATATAGATCTCAATCATAGTGAAAAATCAGTGTTTCAAAATCAATTTGAAATCGAAGAAGAAAAAAATGCTAAACCAGAAACAGAAGATATTTATGAATTCAAAGAATCTGAGCCATGTGATTTTGAAACTATCCCTTCTGTTATCGAAGAAAAAAACCGTAGAGTTATTAAATATAATGATTCACCAAAATCATATAATTTTGAAAAAACTATTGAACCACCAATAATCACTGAATCTGTAATAAAAATGGAAGTAGCTGGACAAAATCAATCTGTGATACCCAATGTATCTAATAGCAATAACACTTCACAATTTTATGTAAATATTGAAACTAATGTGAAAGAAAACGATTATAAAGACAATTTGAATCACGGAAATGAAGTTGAAAGTTCTGTATTTCAAAATCAATCAGATATTGAATCTGATGGATCTGAGAATTTGATTATAAGTGATGTGATTGATTCTAAACACGTAGATGAAGATTCTCGGGATGAAACATGTCAAATTGATGAATCTGATATGAAAAACGAAGTATTAGATTTATGCATGAAACCACCAGAATCACCTCCTAATAACATTTTTAGTATGCCAGAACCAAATGATATTAACGACATGGCTATAGAAGATGAAGATGATGAAGATGATGATGAATTAAAATTAGTAATAGCTGATGATAAAATTGATACTGATTATCAAATAGAAACAAACTTACTAAGTGGTGAAGAACATAATTCTTCTCGTGAACAAACTGAAGAAGCACAAGAAAAATCGCCACCGCCAATGCCTCCTAGTGTACATCAATTATTAATGACAGACCCAGAAGATTTTAAAAATTCTTTTGCCATGAAAAGAGACACTATTTTACCTAGAGATACTGATGATGAAAGTACTACTTCCTGTAATGAAAATATTCAAAATGATCTTGTACAAAGTTTCCAAATGTATTCAAATATTGATAACCAGTCACCAAAAACAAAAATTTATCAGCCTTACTTAGATAATAATGATGATAGTACTAAATCAGGATTTGAATTTGGGTCCAATTCAAAATCACCAACATTTGAAAATGCAGAAAATGTTGAACTTATTGATCAGTTTTCTACCAATGAATCGACAAATAAAGAATATAATTATGAGATTAATAAATTTAAAAATAAATCTGGAAAAGAAGGTTCTACATTTCTTCCGGAATTGCAATGTAGAGAAGAAATAATAGATGAAGAAAGTCTCAATAATGCTCTAGTCATAGAATATAGTCGTAATAATGCAGAATATGATATTCACAAGCCCAGTACTAGCAAAGGACACTTTGATTCAATACACCAACCCTGCTCCAGTAAAAGTGAAATTTATGAAACTAATATTTCTAGTGATACAAAAAATAATAGTTTCATTGATGCTGAACCAACAAATGTAATTACAAGTGTCATTTTCGATGCGCCTAGTAGTAGCAGAAATGTTATTATTGATGATAAAATTCCAATTGTTGAAAGCTGTAAAAATAGTGTCTATGATAAAAATGTTCCTATTAAAAACCAAAGCAGTCTCTATGATAATCCTATACCTAGTACTAGTAAAGTTAATTATAATTCAGATTCAAATGTAAATGATGTATTATTCTGTGAAGAAACTATACCAGGTAGTCCAACTGGTACATCAGAAGAACAATTTGATAATGAGGAAACAAAAAGAACTGCTATGGAACAAGACTTGTATGAAGAAAGAGAAGCTGCTTCAGCTATGTACGCTATGAATCGATCATTCCAACGACCTATGGTTACTTTGATGGGTGCAAGTGAAGCAGAGATGGAAGAGTATACCAGAATTCTTAAAACGTAATTTCAATTAATAATAAAGAAAAAAAAATAACTTTAAGTAATTAATCTCATTTTAAAAACAGAGTTTTAATGTTTACTATCTTGTAATATCTTACTACTTTACTGCTATTTATGTTTAGTTTCACAATATCATATATTTTTTCAAACAAATTCTTAAATAAAATTACATTCACCTTTTTATTTATTTATTTTTTTTTTTACAGTGATGGAACGCTTGATCAAACACATTTACAATTCTTAGCTGAGATCTCTAGTAGGAATCAAGATATAAAAATAAATGAACCCCCTGTAACTGAACCATCTGTAAATGAATCACCAGAACCAGAACCAGAACCAATTGTCAAACGTAAATAAATGTTTCCTGATTATTTTTTAATGTATTAACCATGTTTTTTTGGTAACAGCAAAGCTACCAGAAAAATCTCAAACAAAACGTAAAAATAGCCATGAACATTCAACTTCAAAACGGAATAAATCATCTACTATAACTACTTCAACTATTCGTTAGTTTCTAAAAATTTATCTTAAAAATTTTATTCATTTAAAATAATGCTTATATAAACATAAAATGCATGTTCTATAATTATATATTATGCAAAAATTATTTTCATTTATTCTTTAATGCATATTTTTTAGAAACTGAAAAACCTGAAATCAAAACGCCTATACCAATGAAAGATGGCAAACCATTAATTGCATTTAGTAAGTGTATATACATATTTTAAATAATGTTAATATTAAAGTATGTATTGATAATTTTAAATTGTATAATTTCTAATTTTATTAGATATTATTTCAATATATAAGATATTATTAGATGTTTCCATTATAATGTAATTTAAAATTATTATTAAATATTATTTTTATTATTTTAGCTCCAGATATGGACTCTACTCAACGGCAAGCATTAATTTTAGCCAGAATTAATGATTTAAGAAAAGAATACATAGTTGTGAAAACTCGCATATCTGTTGTTGATAGAAGAAGGAAAAAAATAAGAAAACGTAAAAGAGAAATGACAAAAATTGCTAGTATTCAGAATAAACAATCGTCTGTGATTAACTCAGCAAAATAATTTTTAGTTAACTTAACCCACTAATTTAAATTATAATTAAAATGTTGGTCATTTAATACCTCTATCAATTGTAAATGTTATCATTGTGATGATTGTAATGATTTAGACTATATATTTTATTTTATATAAGTTTTTAAAATGTACATAAAATAATCGGGTTTTTTTTCTTGTAATTAAAAACTTAATTTCAAGCACATATTTTTAAGTTGCTTCAACAGTAGTCAATATTTGTCTTAATTCTTGAATCATATTGAAAACTTTGAATCATTAAAACATATATATTTTACTGTTTTAATGTTTTGTAAAATATTTTTTATTTTTATGTTTGTATATAATTGTAATTGAACTCCATTTTTATACATACATATTTTATTTTTATGCATACATAACAGTAGTGTAATTCGATGGGTTGGACAACTCATGTATTTACTACAGTCTAAAAGGTAATTAACCTTCTATATTGTGCCAAATATTTTATACAAAAATGAGAATGTGACTTAAATAATTTATACTTATTACTTACTTTTCAATAATATAATATATTTATTTGTTTACATAAATTTAAATTTAAATTTTAGATTTTTTTTCATAGGTTCTCTTTTATGGCAATTAAATTGCAGAGATTTTTTATTGATTTTTTAATGAGAATTAGTTATTTTGGTTTTATACTTAATTATGATAAAAGTCATCAGAGAAAAAATGTTTGTCGCTTATAAATGTAGAACCGAATCTTCAATCCAATTTCAACGGTAGATTATATAGTTCTAGATAATCTTCCTCAATTATGCATTTCCAAAATTCTATAATTTCAGAAAACTCATTATATTTGCATTTTAAAATTGTTGAACTTTTTTTTTTTCTATTTTGTAAACTTCATATCTTTGTACAACCCACAAATATAATAATTAGATTAATATAAATTAATAAAGGCAATATATAGTAGTTAGTATATAGCATTGGCGAAGCTTCAGTTCTGGATTAGGGAATTAAAAATTTTAAATATTTAAATTAAACGGCCATATATAGTTCGGTATAAATAAACATTATCTTTATTAATTTAATACATTATAATAATTTTAAACGTATTTAATGCTTATATCACATTATAAGTTATTTATATTTTTTTTAATTTTTTGTTTCGTTGAAAAGATTGATAACTTTGTCAATAATTTAGGATTAGCACCTAGCTCTTTATTTCTTGGGGATCGGGATTCAAAATTTTAAAACATGCTACGCCAACTCATTTAACTTATTTTATTTATATCTGTTTTCTAAATATTTCTTTTATCACATATTTACACAATTATGGATGCTTTGTAGAACATTTTTTTTATTGAAAGTATAATTAATTTCCTGTATATAATGTTATATAATTTGTATATTCAGTGTGACACATTATTCTTTTTTTTAATAACTTATTATTTTATTTTGTATACATATTTTTTTTTTAATTTATTTTGTTTTATTTTGTAGGCATATCCCCATATAGTGCTACATTAATTAATTACTGATTCTACTAGTGATTGATATACCATACTAATTTTCTTAATTTCTTGTATGTATATTGGTTAAATTTTTAAAAGCATTATTTATGTAAATAGTTATTCATATGTAAATAGGTATGCCACCAAGAGCGTCCTCAAGGGAGGGCAAGTAGGGGCATCTTCCCCCCTTGACTTTTTCATGGGTCAGTTATCACAATCATTATGTAGTATAAAATATCACAAAATAAATATTTTTTAAATTAAAAACATTTCGATGTTGAGTGCCACAGTCGACACATAGTCAACAAATGTTATGTGGATCTTAATGGGTGTAGGTACGAGTATTACCTATTTTTTTCACTGTTGCGCCCTCTTAAGTCATCGGTTTTCGATACACTGTTTCGATTTTTATATGTGAATATTTAAAATTGGTAAATATCAAATGGTTTGGTTACTGGTAGTACCTTATTTATTTTATAGAAGCTAGAAACATTTAATTTTATAAGTAACCTAGAGTTATCAAATCAATGGTTTTATTTTATTTATATATATATAAAAAAAAATGAATTTGTTGATTTAAAATTGCACATTAATTAATTAAAATGAATACTGTAAGATTAAATACTAACGTTTTCACTATACACATAATTAATAATTTAATTTTTTATGTTCCCTACCTATATGATAGAAAACACGTCAAAAACAATAAGGTACTTTATCACTAATTAGATAATGAAACAAAAATTAAAAAATTTAAATACCTTGCACCCTCCTGACAAATTTCTACGGACGCTCTTGTATACCACAATATCATATCTGCTATGTATTTCAATATGTGTAAATAAATAAGTTGCTCCTAATAAAAAATAAAAAACTTAAATTATCCAACACAGATGTCATGTTTATTGCATTTATTTTAAGTCAACTTGTTCAAAATCGATTAAGTAACTCGTTGTAATTCATAGTTAAAATAGTTCTATCACACTATAATTTTGTCTGCAAGTTCAGTGGTTAGATACTTGAGGGCTATTAAAAAGTAATAGACTATATTATCCGTTATGTATATATAAATATATATATATATATATATATATATATATATATATATATATATATATATATAAAATCGATCAGATTAATAATTTAATATAATATTACAATTAATTAATTAACCAAGTTATAGTTAGTACACAAACAAAGTCTACACATCTTATTATCATTCTGAAATAAAAAATAGTACGTATATAAACATGAATAACTAAGTAATATTATTTGTATAAAATTTACTAATTAATAATAATAATAATCTACCACAATAATACAACCTAAATATCAAAATACAGTAAAAAAATTAAATTAAATATTAAATATTAAATGATGATGTATCTATCGCGGGTATTCGAGATTTATATTTAAAACATTTGAATATTGACAGCAAATATATGATAAAAGAAATATTTAGATAAAAGTAAAATATCAAGATTCATCCATATGCAGATCAACGGTTATATGACCTAGCGTAGCATGTTATAAATTATGGAAACGTACAAATGCACTTTTCAGTCGTTGTAACTAGCACCATCCAAGAAGATTATACACATGGACCTCACCAAATGGAGGGTACAAGAATCAGATTGATTACTGCCTAATTTCATCAAGGTGGAAATACACTATTGAGAATATCAAAACAAGACCGGGTGCAGATTGTGGATCAGACTACCAACTACTGGTGAGTAAGCTGCGGATTCATCTGAAAAATTTTAAAAGACCCCAGTATAAAACAAGCCAACATATAAATAGCAAAAAGGAGTAGGAAAGTTTTGGAACCATCCTACAGCAAAAGCTCAGGCATGAAGATACTATCAACAACTGAGCCGATCTTAAACAAGTGTTTAAGGCTACCAAGAATAAGGTTAAAAAAGAACGGCCAAGAAATCAAAAGAAGAACTGCTGGTTTTCTAAGGAAACCATTGACCTTATCGAACAGCGCCGCGAACTGAAAGTCAAGGGCCTCCATTACACCTCTCAATACAACCAACTTTCAACGCAAATAAGAAGGGAAATCCGTAGAGATAAAAATCAGATCATTATTGAGAGGTGTAAAAAAATTGAAGCATATGCAGATAAGATCTATACGCGTGAACTGTTCCAAGAAATTAAGAAGCTCACTGGGGATTTTAAGCTAAAGAAATCAGCTATTAAAGATGAAAATGGAAAAGTGCACACAAAGCCTAGAAGTATTCTGGAATGCTAGAGGACTTACTGCCAAAAGCTGTACATAGACCCAGATGAGCATATTGACAATAGCATCGCGTATGGTGAACAGAACCCAGGAATTCTCTTAGAAGAAATTAAACAGGCAGTGTCAAAGCTGAAGAATAATAAAGCGCCTGGATCAAATGAAATCACTGCAGAAATGCTGAAACTATCTGGAGATAAAGGAGTAAAGGTTTTATGGAAACTGTGCAATGAGATTTGGACAACGGGAGCCTGGCCTGAATACTGGGTGGAATCGATTTTCATACCATTTCATAAAAAAGAGTCTATCGAAGACTGTAACAATTGCCACAACATCTCCCTCATCTCACACGCCTCCAAAGTCCTACTAAACGTCATTCATGAAAGACTGAGGTACTATGTAGATGGTCAAATATCGCCGGAACAAGCTGGATTTGTCAAAGGTAGAGGAACACGTGAACAAATCTTGAATATACGCTAGCTCATAGAGAAGAGTAGAGAATTCAATCAACCATTTGTAATGTACTTCATTGACTATAACAAAGCTTTTGATTGTGTACAATGGAGGAAACTATGGACTGTCATGCAAGAAATGGGATTCCCCGAACATATCATCCACTTAATAAAGTACTCATACGCTGGATCAAAAGCAGTAATCAGAGCACAAGATACATTATTAGATCAATTCCAACCTACCAAGGGTGTTCGACAAGGGTGCATTTTATCACCTTTTTTTTTTTAAGGAACCGAGAACCGGGTGGGAATTGTTTGAACATTACTGCCGCCCGGAGTGCATTTTATCACCTATCCTCTTTAATATTTATAGCAAATCAGTATTGAGAAAGGCACTTCAAGAATGGAATGTCGGAGTGGTTATTTGAGGTAGAAAGATCAACAATTTACAGTTCGCAAATGACACCACATTATTTACCAAGTCTGAACCGGAGATGAACCAACTAATAAAGCATGTTGAAGAAGCAAGTAACAAATATGCACTGACAATCAACAGGAATAAGACAAAGGTTATGGTTATAGATCGAGCAGGAGTATTACCTAACATCAATGTACTGAACGGCTACCGAAAAGTGAATGAGTTTATATATTTAGGTTCAATTGTACAAACAGATGGCGGATCATCCAGAGAGATTAGACGTCGCATTACCTTTGGGAGGGAAGCAGTCAGCAGGTTAATACCAATTTAGAAGATAATCATATCTCCAGGAATAGCAAGTTGCGACTACTTAAAGCATTTACCTTCTCGGTGATGCTCTATGGACCCGAAACATGGACACTCAAAGTAAAAGATGTAAAGTGTATAAACACCTTTGAGATGTGGGCATACAGGCGGATGTTGAGAATTTCTTGGATGGAAAGAAGAGCCAACCTCTCAATTCTGGTCATGCTAAATGTGGAAACAAGACTGGCAGTTATGTGTAAGTAGAGGATCCTAAGGTTTTTCGGCCACATCATAAGAAGGGATGGATCTAGCCTGGAGAAGCTGATGATCGAAGGAAAAATAGAAGGGAAAAGAAGCTGTGGAAGAATACCAATGCGTTGGATAGTCCAGATTAAAGCCATCACTGGCTATCTCCTTGGAGAGGCCATACAATTGGCAGAAAACCGTGAGTTTTGGAAAGAGACTGTTGCCAACATCAACTGATGGGTCACCAAACTTCCGCTTTTGGAAGATAAACTTAAGAAAAAGAAGTAACTACCACGGTTCCTACCAGAGATGGGTAAAAACGAATTAAAATAATGAATAAAAATAAAAATTATTCTGAATAATTTAACTTGTAAATAAATGATAATTCTGAATAAACAAATATAATAAATTGTGATTAATATCCAATTTTCATGTAACAAAATTATGATAAAAATATAATTTTTATAACAAAGCAAATAAATATAATAACAATAAAATTATGAATAAAAATTATCTAGAATAATCAAATGAAAAATAAATTATTAAAGAATAATTTTGGTATTTACTAGATGGCCGTGATCGTTACAGATAATGAGATAAAGAAAGCACGTCTGCGAGGAAATGTCTACCACGACGATAGCCTATATATATAGGCATAGGCACTACAAGGGTGTGCGCTTGCACACCCCTGGATTAAAAAATAAAAATAAATAGAATGAAATTTAAAAATGTTTAATAGAGGCTATCATTATAATTATAGGTTTTCTAATAGCTTATTAATAGCTAATAGCATTCAATGAAACCATCGAAAAAACAAAAAACATTTTGTACCGTCAAAGAATTTGAAAAAATATTTCTACGTATTTTATTTCAATAATTTAAGCATTATTTAGATATCAACGTATATGATCAGCTATGCATGATCATCAAAAGTTAATCACTTCTGATTCATATCAAATAAATCTGCAGTTAATAACGAAGTGCGTACGCAAGTGGGTCTTTAAAGGTTCACCCCTCCTCCCTCCGAAATTGACGGAAATCATTAAAAAAAATTAGTAAAAGTGATTTCATAGATTACATAAGTATGAGCATTTACAATCTAAACCTCCTACCAATAAAATTTTTTTGGGGTACACGATTTAAATGCTTCAAGATGTTAAAAAAATACATTTTTGTATGAAATATACTAATATAGAAGTGGATTTTTTAATTGATGCTATAAAATTTTTATATTATTTATCAGAAAGAAAGTATAGCTTTAAATATTATACTGTTTATTCGTGGTCACAACAACTTAATAACATTATTTCTGTTACTGCACCCGTATAATACATTAATAATACCTATATTGACATTCTTTTATATTTAATATACCATTTTTTATTCGTGTTGATTACTACTTCGCAATTATTATTTTTAGGCATCTAATTGTTCCTAAACTATTACAAACCATGCATAGTTAATTATAAAAAAATTTGTATTCAATATTTCAAATTCCTTGAAATGCAGGGTTTTTTAACAGAAAACAGCATTTACATTTTCAATTATTTTATATATTTTATAAATACTTTTTAATTTTTTATAACACACGTTTTTTTAATGCTGTTAACACACAAACATTTACTTAAAATATTTATAGATTAGTTTGACTTGTATCATAATGTACTATTAATAAAACATTTGGAAACATAATCGATAATTCAACTAAACTAATTACGTTCTACACAAACATAAAAATCTAAATATATTTTCTAGGAATATAATTGATAACTTTTACCTTATACGGTATATAATGTAGTATAATATAAATGATAACATTTTTTTTTTTTATATTTTGCTAGGTATTTAATATTAGATAATTATCCAAATACGTAATGTAAATAATTCACACTGATAAATCGAAATGGAAACCTATTGACTAATGAAGAATAAAAATGATAATGTAAATTATTTATTACGAGTTTGACTTATATTCGTTTTGATGTATAGCATAATATTAGTAGCAATTAAGATATCGTGCTTTTTTAAAAATTTACGATATCATAATAAAAACCGTTAAGTATAATCAATCAGTTATGATCTTTAAATTTAAATTATTTGAAAATAATAAATACATAAGATAGTATATGAATTTAATTGATTAATATATCTCATGTGCACGGGGTACAAAAAAAAAAAAAATATTAACGCTACAGCACATGACGTGATTTTTGATCGAATACATTTTTTTGTACACTCCCTCATAATCGAGAATTATTGAAAACTTATAGTATTACGTCCATAGACATCTGCGAAATTCAATCCACCACATTAACCGATCAAATAAACAATCAGTAATTTTTTTTATAAAATTGAAAAGAAACTCGAGTATTCATGAAAATAAAACAAATATTAGATGAACGTATCATCATCATACATTTATAGTGGATCATTAAAAAATGTAGATAATTAAATGTATATAATTAAAAAATCATTTTTTTAACAAATGGAATCGATTAGCTTATATGAGAAATGGATTTATAAAGTATTTTAATAGTGATTAGGAAAATGTTTCATTGAAGAGGATTTGACGGTTTAGTTGATGTCAAAAGGAGGAAGGTTAAGCATTATTCACACCAGCCATTGTAGTCCAACAGAGGGTTCATTCCTCTTGTGCTGATCACGATGTCGTGTAAATTCATACGCATCACTTCGGATTGATCGCGTATCACATTTTCCTCAATATCGTCCTCAATATCGTCGTTGTGGTTTCCCGATGTCGCCATGAAAAGATCCAGTAGTGGGTGCTGACTTTGAGCCGTAGCGTTCACAAGTCTATCCAGTCTGCTCGATCTGTTTATATGCCGCCGTGTGTATTCCTCGTCTAGAAAATTATCGCAACAATTTTTAATTTTTCCTTTTATTTCAAATTACGGCAACAATATTCCACAATTAGCACATGTCATGTGATCACCAATTCATGATGATCACAGTGTGATGTATACATGCCATGTGCTTACTGCAAGTACCTTTCGTTAAAGTGCGTTCCTTGACTGTTATTCTGCGCCTGAGTTTGATTTCCTCCGGCATGTACTCGACTAATTTGTCAATGAACGAGTCCAAAGTCAAACAGTACGATTTCGATTGGATGTTTACTCGACACATAGGGCATTTCTTAACTTTCCTCATCCAAATATGTATGCACGATTCGCAAAACGTGTGTGAACAGTTGAGTACTGTGGGCTGAAAAACAATAGACGCATAAAAAAACCGATCGAATTAAATAATTTTTGATAATTATTGTAGTATCATTAGAACACCAAAGCATTTATGTTTTTGACAATTTTAAGTGGATTGATTGACTGTTTTAATAGTACACTTGTTAAACAGAATTTTATAAATATATAGTTTGTCTATTTTTATTGTTTTCACATAATATCTAAATAGATAAAACTCACAAGACAATGAATAAATTCCAACCAAAATAACCAATCCTTATAATATTTTATGTACATCAGCTTCTTTTGTAAATCATTTGAAACAATGATAAATAAGTATATTTTCCTATGAAATCATTATTATTTAAAATATATTTATGATAGCGAAACAAAAAAGTATATAATATTACAAATATATATATATATATAATTTAAATATATTCGGTCTTCAAACATTAGTACATGAATCAAGAGTTATGAAAATATCATTAGATAATTGATTGAGATTACAATATCTAATATTATTACCTTTATAAATATTTCCATGCAGACACCACATTGTAAATTTTCGGTCACAGTATTCCTTATAATTTCTTCCCAATCAATCTTCTCCTTAATAGGAATCACTTTTTTACAAAATACTGTTTTTTTTCCAATTTCTTTCAACTTGCTAGCATTTTTCTTTATTGATTTTATTAACTCATTGCTTGATGATTTATCGCCAATTTCTCCAGCTGTATCTGCAGTTTGAATCATTTGCTCTCTAAAAATAATGACATATTATGAAAAAATGTAACTAGAAATAACTATAATATAATAAAATTATAATATTTCAAAAGTAAGTACTCTTCGGTCATATCTTGTTGGGATTCAGTGTTAGCACTTGGTCCATCTTGTTGAGATGCAATAATGGTACTTGAAGTACTTGGATCATCTTGTTGAGATTCATTGATGGTACTTGAAGTACTTGGTCCGCCTTGTTGAGTTTCATTGATGACACTTGAAGTACTTGGTTCATCTTGTTGAGATTCATTGATGGTACTTGAAGTACTTGGTTCACATTCTTCATCATTATCAGTATTCGCTAGAAAAAAAAAAAAATTTAATTAGGTAATATACTTAATATTAATTGATTTATGTCCGACGGGAAAAGAACATTAATTTCAGTAAAATTAACTTCAATTTTTATATTACATTTCATAATATTCAATATTTATAAAAATAAATAAAAATGAATTATTTCTTAGATAGGTGTGTTGGAGTGCGTTCAAATTTAATATTTTTTTTTTTTTTGTAGAGAGTATATTTCAACCATAGACCTTATACTAAGTATAAGATATTATATTATATTATTTAGTATATTATACTTAATATAAGGCCCATGATTTCAACTGTAGGTTTTGAGAGATAATGTAAATTATTTATTACAGGTTTAACAATGGTTTGACTTATATTCGTTTTGATTTATAGCATAATATTAGTGGCAATTGAGATATCGTGTTTTTCTGCAAATGTACTATATCATAATGAAAACCGTTAAGTATAATACGAGTATATCAATTATAATTCGTATATTTAAATTATTTGAAAAAAAAAATAAGATGGTATTTGAATTTCTTTTTATTAAATAAATTTATTTTTATGTACTTAATATACTAACATCAATATAAATATAAAAATTAAATGTCCAATCGCCATCTTTTCATTTGATACACAAATTTAAAAAATTTTAAAAAATTCTCTGTGTCCTTGATGGTCAACTGAATCAAGCAATTATCGTAGTCGCTCCAAAAAAAAAAAAAAAACCGTAGCTACTATTGGCACCATTTGAATACCTTTCCTTATTTCTAGCTAAATTAATGTATGAACAATATTATGGGATTATTGTATGTGAACTCGTAGTCTAAAGTTATTGAAAGCCATACATAGCGACAAGTATCGGGTTCAACTGATGAAATTTTATTTTGCACTTTTTTAATTATTTTCATGATTGATAACTGATACAAAAGTTAGTAACTTAGTAATTACGCTGTGACCTACTTAGGGTGGTGTTGCATAGCAAGTCGAGGGATATTTTCGATCAGCGGAGCGGAGCGACGGCGCCGAGGAGCGTAGTGACAAGTGCCGCTAGTATGGCATCACTGACGTGACAACTTCCCCCGACCCGCGCACTAACTATTCGGGTATCGAATATATACACGGACAGTCCGTGTACGCTTTATCCACCCGGGTATCTAAACACAGCGTATTTTATATTACTCTATCAACCATCACTGCAGCAGCATAGATAATTGTTGTTCTATGGTGTATTGGTGTTATACGTTATATTACTCTACGTCGCATTAAGTAAACTAAGCTACAATTTTGAAAATTGCAAAATTTGCTGATAAATTAATCATTACACAGTTGTACACATGGGCCCAATATACCTGTGAAGAACCGCAATCATACCAACCCAGGGGGCATTCGCCCCCTCGCCCTTCGGCCCAGTCTGCCCCTTAGCAGGAAAACTCGACAGCTTAATCGTGAATATCAATTTTAGTTCATATAATTTTGTCCAACTGTATCAGTATAGCTATTACTTTTATCGATTTGGTATGGGAAAACAATAAATATAACATAAAATAATATCAATAGTGGGTAAGGAATATTATAATGATATTTTATACTTTGTTCCGTATTATAATAAAATTATGAGAAATGATTAGTAAAATATTTTATAATATATTATTATATTATAAGTTAAACAATTATTTATTTCTATTAGAGGTTCAAATCAACCGGGCAAGATCAAATTACCCGAGCAATGTGAACATTGTCCGGTATTTCATATTGCCCGTAACACACATACATATACACATGCATGTACAGACGCATTGGCTTGCGTGATGAGGTTAACATGGCCCATGTGATTGGTCCACTGTGGAATTTCCGGTAAAAAAGTAATTCTATGAATAAAACAACCAACATGCACTTATCTAACTAAATGGGAGTAATAAAAAATAAATTTTTTTTTTTTTTTAATTTTATCATCTCAACGATCTGCCGAGCTTACGGAATGAGTAATTCGTGCGGACGGATGAACTCGAAAATCGAGCGCCGGTATACGATTGCGGACATTAACGAGTCCCGTGCGTTTCACCGTTTTCCAACGCGAACAACATTGATGCCATCTCGGCCTAACGGACGCGCGTCGAATAACCGCGAAGGATTGACACCGAGCACCGCTCGCCGGTGAGAACGTTTCACGCGCCGGCATATTCAAAGTACGGGTACTCACCGGGAACGGACATAGTCGGGGCGCTGCTCATGAATGTCTTCCAGTCGTGCGAGTTCCAACATCTGTTGCCGAACCGGCACGCGCCCCGAAGATAATACATGCAAATATCAGCGGCGGCCATGCAATTGGATCACTCTGAGGTCCGCTGCGGCGGGGCAGTTGACCGACGGCTGTGTGCTGCTCTTCCTGAGATGACCGTACTGGACCTGCTGCGTTCCAGTACCGTTGGCGACGACGAAAGGCTGGCTACTGCGAGCGACGCGACCGCGACCCGTAGACGCCGACAATAGTCGCTCCCTCTCACTCACTCACTCACTCTCTCTTCCCCACCACTCCTCTCGCTCGATATCGCTCCGTTTCCTCGCACCGACCGCGCGCCGTCGGACGATCAATATCCCGGGCCCCCTGGAACCGTTACGGACGGTACGCGCGCGCACGCGCGCCCCGTGTCCGGGCCCGACCGTTTGCCGGTGCGCGACGAGCGCGGCGGGGCGCAGGCGCAAAGGATAACGATCGACGGGTACCACCCCGCCCCGTCCCCCGACCGTAGCGCGGTGCAAGAACCGTCCGGCGCGCTCGAACAAACGCTGCGGCAAAGCGTGCGCAGAGGTTATCCGCGCGTTCGGCGTCCGGTGACACGACAACCGTCAGCGAGACGATTATTATTATTACTATTATTATTCCACGAACGCGAACCGTTGTGCCGAGTGCTGGACCGTCGGGTGAAACGCGTGCGGACGGACGGCGTCGGAAGAGATGGTCGGCGGCGGTGTTCTTTGCTTACCCGCCTACGCGTGATCCGCGCCTGCACGTCGGACGCGTTTGCTGCGCGGCGCGGCCACGAATACTTGCGCGGCCGGATCGCGGAATCGTTCCGCGCTGAACGGATAACCGCCCGGGCTCGTGCAGGTCAGGCGTGTTCGGTGCGATAGGGGTGTGTGCACGGTTCGTCGCGGCCGAGACCGAGACAAAAAAAAAAAAAAAAGGAGAAAGAAAAAACTTCCATTCCGCGCGGTAAAACGTTTCCCCGTGTTGGTAGGTATTGTGCAAGCACGTAGAGTGTGTACACTTTTTAGAAGTACATTTAATGTACCGGACAAACGTCGCTTCTCGGACGGATCTAGTCGGACTACCGAAGTAATAAAGTCCATCACGGCTCTCGTACACCAACACATTATTTCGATGGGTGTTCTGTCATTTCCCAGATGTTTTACACAAAAACGCTTGATTGTACCATACGCATTATCGTGTTTTGTTCAGTAAATTGTTCATCCCAATACATCGGTTTAAACCGTGAAAGGATTTTACGAGTACACATTGCTTAAAAAACACGCATAATAAATATATCTTTTTAAATATTTAAGAACTTGAGACTATTATATCTAGACTATTTGTATGCTTATGGACATACAGTTGAACATAAGTTGGTACGGGACGTGATCGATTTTTATCCTACAAGGACGTTAATAATCGGGCGTAGCGTTTCGACTACCAAATATTGGTGACCGTATAAACATATTATTTTGCCCCTTACACGATCAATAAATTCCAGTCGTTGCTTTTATTTTACTGACAGAATCGTCTGTTAGATTAAACCGAAAACGCCCCAAGAGTTTTTTCACAAACATTTTCACATGGATATCGAAGTATAAAATAATAATATTATTGCGAGTGGACCTACTATTTACAGCACTTTTCAGTCAATAGACACTTAAATAACATAAATAACAATTTGGAAATAATAAATTGTGAATAATTGAGACATGCGAAAGCGATGTTATATATCGGTATTTATTGAGAATGGTATTTATTTCGATTTGTTCGTATACACAATCATAAGTATTTTACAAATTCAACAAATGCATATCACATTTCACGGTCCACGGACAAAAACAACCAAAATTCTATAATCATAGTTTTTAATATACCTATAATTACAATATACAATATATATGTATTAGAATGTATAATAAAATATAATCGACAAACTTATTTTCCCAGTGTTTCTATCCGAATAATTTCAAATTTCCAACGTTAAACAATGACCTTCTCTAAACGCCTACTTTCAATATAGATGAACATAATTATTTCCCTATAATTGTGTGATGGGTTCGACGCAAAAATGAACGATCGGAAACACTCGAAGCGCCATCTAGTAAGAGGGTATTGATCCACGAAGTTTTAGTATTTTATTTAAAAAAAATGTATTTCAACAATATTTCGTGAGTTATATGAATGGAAGTCATATAACTGATAACTAGGGAACGGATTTATATGTAATAAAAATACAGAAATATGTACATAAATATGTAAGTATAATTTATAAAATATGTGCTAAAAACATCCAAATATGTGGGGAAAAAAAATTAAAAAAAAAGTGATTATTATTATTAAATTATCAAAAAGATTTGTTGCATTGAATTATTACAATATCTTGTAAATTATCAAATGTTAAATGTCTCCTATTAGGTATCAAAATACTTTTAAAGCGGCTAAATTATCGTTTCACATCAACCTATGTATTAAAAGCATATTTCAAGTGCATACTATCAGAAGGCGATAATTCCAAATTTTTAAAAGGTTGTCTACCATTCATTATGTCATTGATTGTTTTAAAATCAATATTGCCTGGAATTTTTTTCTGTAACAGCATGAATTTTCTTTTTTACGACATCTATTGGTCCGCTTACGAGTTTTAATCGCTGATTCAACAATTTGCATACTATCATTTGGTGAAATATTTTTTATTAATAATTTTGTTAAATTATTTTTAATTAAAATTAAATTATTTTCAATGTTTCATTTTGCATAATATTTTGAGCTTTGCCAATAGAGATAAAAGTTTCTGGATATAATTTTGAAATAATTTCTTGTATTTTCGTTCGAAGAAGACGCATGAATGATGAAATGATAAAAATATGTTTAAAAATATTTAAAAATTAGTGAAATATGTAAAAATATGTAATTATACCAAAATATGTAAAACTATGTAAAATAAAAGTATCATAATTTTAATAGTAATGATTTAAATCATAAACATTTCTTATCGAATCTTAAATACCTCGTTTTAATAAAAATATGCATTTACATATAAATCCGTTCCCTACTGATAACCAACGCTGAAATACCTATTAAAATTCTGTAACTTCTGGGGTCTGCAGGGAAATATACATTTGAGCTCGCACAAATTAATAATTTTATTATTACGACATTAACTATAAGCCATAGTTTCATATTCATAGTCAATTCATAGTCAGAATAAGTATTGTTCAACCAATACTTATGACATAAATTAAATTCACAAAAGATACCAATGCTTAATAAAAGAAAAAGTACATAAATATACCATTTTTATAAGTTTAGTACCAACCATGCTTAAGAAGTACTTTAAATTATTACCTATAAAATAATCATATTATTTATATTTATTTTATTTTATTGCATAAATTGGAATCATTAATTAACTATAAATTATTAATTTTAATTATAAAAAAATGACAAATTAAACAATAATATGGATGAGTTTTAAATTTAATGGACTTTTATAATGAAGTTGTTCCTAAAAAATATGTGAGAAATGGTAAAAATAGTAAAAACGTGTTTAATTGTACGTAATTTGCATTATAAAATTTTCCAAAAATAGGTTGTACATGGCGAGTAATTGTTGCAAAATTCAATCAAATGAATGAAATAATAAAACTTTTACCCATGGTAATGCGTGTTACGTGAAGTTGACGGAATGATTCGAGTTAGGCGGACGAGTCGCGACCGTGGCTTATCAATAATTGTGTAATCACAGTCGAAATGTCTTATCAAATCGATCCAGAAAGTATAAACAATAATAATAAAATTATTGATTGTGGCCGAATTATTTTTCATAGGTAGTGAATAAATTCGTTAATATTTAATTATTATTATAATAATCTCAGTATTAACAATTGATGAGTGTACAATATGATATTGTAAACCACAGGAACACGATGAACTCGCCCAGTCCAGAAGTGGATGTCTTTATTAGCAATTACACAATCGTTGATCCAGACGTATATCATTTGTGGGTGAACGGATATTCTGGTACCTACCTATCTAAACTACACGTTTTCATAATAATATTGTTTTTACGTTATAATCGATCGAACTGAATTATGGTACGGACATTTTTTTTCAGCCTCTGAAGCGGTGTCCATTCTGAAACAGTATGGCATTCTGGAAGAGATGGGCACAACACTTGACTTGGTTGCATCGGACATATTAGATCATTACCGAACTTACAGTTTGCTTGAAAAATTGATTCACTATCCTACGAAATTAGATCAACAACTGGCATTTCAGATTGAGCCGCAGACCAAACACATTTTAGTAGAAAAGTATACAATATTGATTAAACTTTAAATTTTACTATATTTTTGTTATATTATAATTCACAGATGTTCATATTTTTAAAACTGAAAGTAGTTAATTTTAATTTGTATATCCATCATCTGGTCCATGTGATATTAATTATGTTTATTTAATTATTTTACACTTGAGTCTTATTCTGTAGAAATGTAATGATGTTAACCTATTTTCAAAAATTTTGTAATCAAAACTAAAAATTAAAATATTCACATTATTATTTAACGAAAAGTTGCATGCTGTTAAATTTTTAATTTATTTTATACTTCTTAATAAGAATCAAATATTTAAAGATAAAAATGTTTTCTTACACACCTTTTTTTTTAAAAAAAAAAGAAAAAACATATATTTATTATGGTTTTGTTTAGATATTATGAAATTGATGATATTGTTGTTAGAGAATTCCTTGGGAAAAAATTGTCGTCTAAACATCGCAAAGATTTAGATGAAGTTAGTGAAAAAACAAGTATTGCTATAAAATCTTGCCGGTTGGTTCTCATTATTATTTATCAGATTTCATTTATGTTTATTAAAATTTGTTTTAAAAATAAATTTGATTTCAGACGTCAATTTGACAATGTTAAAAGAGTTTTCAAGGCTGTCGAAGAACTGCAAGGCTCTGTTATTCAAAATATTTCTAGTATATTCTTACTATCTGAAGATTTAGCAAAGTATGTAAAAATGTTTATATATATATATATATATATATACTTCAATATCACCAGATATAACTAATAACCATGTTATTATTTAATTAGAAAGTATGGAGTGATTGTTTTCATAGCTTGTATGCGTTTTGAAACATCTAAAAGAAAGTTACAAACATTAACATTTCCTGACTTTTATGAATCAACTCTTTGTATAATGAACAAATGGACTTATCCTAAAAATAGTCCAGAATTTGGAGATACAGACTTGGATAGAGAGTTTCTACTGGATTTAAGAGAAGTTAGAATATTATTAGACAAAGAAAAAGACCATAAACAGTTAGTTTTATTTACTAAAAATGTTTGATAAACTAAAAAAATAAAAAATAAAACAATTTATCATTTAAGACATAAACTACAGCAGTTTTATAATTACTTTATTATGTATTATTGTTTCAGTGTTGTTTGTCAAAAATTAAAGCCAGAATTTCTTGAAAAAACATATAATAGTATGGAAGTTAATTTCCGTTCATTAAGTCGTGCTATTATTGGAATTGCTTATAATCTTCACCATAACAGAGACTTAAGGTAAATTTTAAAATAAAATGTTTGTGTACATAAAATATTATATCGTAACACAATATATTAAAAAAAAAAAAATCATTATTTCCATTGTATTTTAGAGGATTCTTCCTTGAAGTAGTAGAAAGGATTATTGATCCATGGAAATTACTTGCTTGGAGTAAAACAGATGTAATGAATTTTCTTAAAGTATATATTAACAGTGCCATTGAATTAGATATATTTCAGTAAGTAAATTATTCTATAAAATGTAATTTATTTTTAATTAAAAATATTTATGTAATAATTGCAACTAAAAAATAATGGAGTGTAAAATCTCATACTATTTGTTTCATCATTATTATTTTTTCCATAGACTATAATATATTTATATGTTCATTATTAGATTTTTAAGATATACAATTTAATAGGTTTTCAATTGTGTTTGAATTTTTTATTAAGATTTGTAAAATATTTTTATATTATTACCAGTAGAGTCTTGATAATTCAACACACATAGGACCATTGTATAGTCAAACTATCATAAAATCAGGTATTTAAATAGAAATCAAATTAACTTATAATATATTTATTTTCATTACAATTTTATTCATGTATAAAAAACACTAATACTCAAATTATAAAATATAAATGTAAAAAATAAAAAATTGATTCAAGAAAATGAGTAAGAATAGATGAATAATTCTAAAATAAAATTGTAGTTGAATGTAATTTAAACATAGTAAATTACTTAAGCTGTTGGACTAACATAGTGCAAGATTATATTATTTATATTTAGAAATACCATATGCTCACAAAAAATATATAAATATATATTATTATAAATGAGTATAAATTGCTATTCCTTTATTTTCATTTAACTTTATTATGAATATTTATGGGTTCAGCTAACTTAATACTCATTTATAATCTTTAAAAATTGCATTTTTAATGAAATTAAGTATAACATTTACAATTTGTAGAATACTATTATATAAAATTAATATAACTTCATAATTTGTTGCTGCCTTATTTATTAAAAAAAAAAATTAAAAAATGTTCTAGGGATGCAGAAGTCAAGAAAGCTTGGGAACGCTATATGGATGTAATAACTACCAGTGTTAAGCAACTTTATTAAATCTTTATCATACAATGAATGACTATTTAAAAAAAAAAAAAAAATCGAGGTAAATTTAGACAATTTTTGTTATAGATATTATTAATACATTTGTTAATTGTATAAATTGGTACTTCAGTCTGATTGTGAATTTGAGTTATAATATATATTTTAAATAGTTATATATTTATATAGTAATTACTCAAAATATTAGTCCAAATATTTGTTATAAATTAATTGTGTTATATAGTATTATTTAGATAATGTGTGTTTTATTTAACTTTGTTTTACTAAATTATTTCTTGTAAAATTTAATACATTACTATTGTATACCTACATTTAATAAGACTAAAGTAATATTTTATGCTAGTCTTAATATAGTACCTATAAAAGTACAAAAAATTATATTCTATTTATATTGCATGTGTTTATACAACAAATTTTAATTAAAACCTTACATTTGTAAACTTAAACTAATATTGTATTTATAAAGTTAAATTGTATGCATGACCAAATTTCAAGGCAATAAGGAGTTATAGATCTTTTATTTTTAATTACTAAAATATTAAAGCTGCGTTACAACACAATTACTGAATTGTAGTTTTATTCATAATACCATATTTATGTATATTACACTATTTCAAACTTTTCATTAAGGTAATCAGTATAATATAATTAATTTTCTTTCTAATTTTTTTAATTAAAATGTATTATGTTTATACATACTTTAAAAATAACAAAAAGTTAAACATGACCTTTTTAACTGTAGTGTCAATATAATCTATAAGTTTTCATGTTGAAAAATCAATTGAACAACTAATAATTATTACAAATCAAATCTCTAACAAAAGCATTTATTTAAGTTTATTAAAATTATTATTTTACAAATTATATTCAATAAAAATATTAAAAATACATTAATATCTTAAAGTGTTAGTTTTCAATTTGTACTTTGTTAATAGTTAAATACAAAATCTCACTAAATGTCATTATTTTTCAACATACTTACATACTTAAATAATGAATATAATATTTGTTTACCAATAATATTTAATGTGTGATGACTAAAATGTGATACTTATGATATAGTTTTATGGTAAAAATTAAAATTAAGCAACTCATAACAATAGAAATAATAATTTTATCTAAAAAATATAAATTTCTAGGTAATAAATTACCTTTATTTTAACTATGATGTTTGTTATTAAAAAATGAAACTTGTTTTGAATATGCTGCTGCAATGTGATAAGGTGGAGGAACTCTCTGAGGGTTCACTTTAGGCTCATATAAATTTTCCTTTGTTTAAAAAATTAAGTTAATATTTTATCAAAATATTTATTCTTAATATTTCTACTTACTGGTTCTATAATACTACTTTTCATTTGATAAAGTTCTTCCATTTTTTCGGCTTCTTGATCGATTGCTATATTGTGATCAATTTCAGTTGATTTAGATGTTTCGAGATTGTCAATGGTTACTGATGGTTCCTAAAAATGAATTTCAATTAATATTATAAACATTTTGAAGCATTGAAAATGTCAAAAATACATAATTTTTAGAATATATAAAAATTAAATATTATTAATATGGTTTAGGCATTCAAATATAAGATAAATATACTAGCAAAATATTTATTGAACATTTTAATCAGCACATTCTTTTCATCCTAACAATACTATAAAACTTTAAAGAAACTAGTGTTATCTTTCATACTATTATTGTAAGAAAATATTTTTACCTATATAATTTTATTATTAGTGTAACTCTATATGTATAAGAAATAGTTAATTACTGAAGTGAATAATAAAATTGAAGTAATATTTTGCAATAGAACCTTTTTAGTTAAGAATAGTTTTCTTTAAATAAATTATATGGTGAGAAAATGAACTTTAATTGTATAATTACGTTGCTTTTTTTTTTCCTTTCCAATAACATTTTGGCAAAAGCTCTCATCTTTTTTGGGTGTGGTGTAGGAACTCTCATTAAATTTCCTGGTTCTTCTAAGACAGAATCTTCAGTAAACCGGATCCTTGTGTTAGTTTTAATAGATTTATTGCATTGATCTTTGTTTTCTATATTAAATATATAAAATTAAATTACATAATTAATAAATATATTAAATGATAAATAGATATGTCAACATAAACATAAATTACCAATAAAATTATCTTCTCTTTGTGGTAATAAATAACAAGTTAAAATATGTTTTCCAGTCTCATTCTCATAATCATTTTGTAAAGGTGTCAATGGTTTGCTTTGATTTTCTGAAAGCCAAAGAGCATTGAGATTTTTTAACTTTAAAACAGAAAGTGGAAGATTTTTAATCTTGTTTTGTGTTAACATTAAAACAACTAAATTTTGTAAGCTTCCTATACCATCGGGTATACTTGATAAATTATTTGACCGTAGACTGAGTTCCCTTAAACTTCTACAACTACAAATTTCTGAAAAATCACAATAAGAAAATGTACAAATAAATTAAATATTTAGAACTATAGATATTGATAAAAAAAATACCAGTTGGTATATTATTTAATCTGTTAGCATCTAAACGTAAGATCATTAATTTTCTCATTAAACCAACTGAAGGTGATAAAGTTTCTAAAAAGTTATAAGAAGCATCCAGTTCTTCTAAACATTGAAGGCCTTCAAAAACACCATTCATTTGTTTCAAACAGTTATGATCTACTTTTAATGTTACTAAATCATGTAAATGCTTCATTGAACTAGGTAAACACTAATAAAAGACATATTACAACAACATATTAGTAATAATATTAAACATAATAGGTATATTTTTACTTTTAAATTGTTAAATGATAGGTGAAGGTCTTTCAATTTTGAACAGTATTGAATATCTTGATCAATTTTAGATATTCTATTATTACTAGCATCTAAGTACCATAATTCATGAAGATTGCTGATTTCCTAAAATAAATATATATATAAATAGATATTACATATATTAAAATATATTGAATTAACAATTATTTACAAAAAAACAAATAGTTTTTAAATAAATTAACTAGAAATTATATTATACATCAATTAATTTGTTCATTCTATATACTTGTAAATATACAATAATAAATTTTACCATAAATTAATACATGTATCAATAAATATATTAAATTATTTTTGATAACAAATATGTAATAGCAATTATAAATTTATAATAATTAAAACTAAATAAGCTACTATAGTTATATACAGTTTGGATTAATTAATTTATAAGATTTTTAAATGAACAATAAGAACCTGAAAGATTCAAAAAATTAAAATATATATGGATGTTGAAAATAAATTTATTTTTATAGGATAATATTTTTAATATTTAACTAAACTGATAATCATATGTAATTTAAAGTGTATAATTTGCTACTTACTGAAGGAATATCCACAATATCATTGGAGTCAATCCACAGCTCATGCAACCCATAAAGATCACTTATTGCTGAAGGCTAAACAATTTAATAAATCATTGATTTTATTTTGATAAAGTTTGTAGATCTAAATAAAATGTTCAAGATTAAATATTACATTAACTGTACTTACAAATTCAATAAAGTCATTTTGTCCAATATCAAGTCTATACAGTTGCATTAAACGGGATACTGCCTTTGGTATTTGAGATATTTTATTATCCCTTAATTCTAATACTCTTAAGTTAATAAGACGTCCAATGTTTGCTGGAATAAATTCTAACTGAGTATCATTTAAACAAAGTTCTTCTAAAGATAACATCTGAGTCAACGGGATAGGAAATTGGGATAAATTATTAACACTTAAATTTAAAACAGAAAGTTTCTTGCAATTTTTAATGTTTTCATCAATTGAACATAAATCTATAAATAATAATTATGAAATTATAAAAGTTTATTTAAAAATAAATTCTACTCACAATTTCTGCTCACGTCCAGCTCAATAAGATTAACCAATGAACCAATTGCTTTCGGAAGATGTTCAATTCTATTGTCACTAATGTGCAATATTTTTAACTGTAGACAATGAAATAAAGGCAAAGGGAGATCCTTAATCTAAAAAAATGAAAACTCTTATTTATAATGAAGAATATGAGATATAAAAAGTAACTATCAATGTTTCGATAATACTTTTATTTACTTAGTATAATAAATTTTAAAATATTTATGTATAGGTACTTTACAATATGAATAATCAGTATAATGTTCAATATAAATTCTTGAAAAGAATTTTGTATATAACTAATATACATATAACTAGAAATACCGTTTATATTATTGAAAAATTTTTGAGCCTAGACTCTTAATGTCAGATGTCAAATAGCTGACATTATGTTATTATACGATATTTTAAACAACCTCATAGACTGTCCTGACATATTATCTGAAATTGGGTTTCATGTTCATAGTATAAACACAAGGAACATGGATCTTTTCATTATTCCTAAGTATAATACCAATAGTGGGAATAGTACGTTCTTTTCCAGAGCTCTTGTTTTGGCCAATAAAATATCAACTAAATTAGATTTTTTTGTACTTTCTTGTAACATATTTAGAATTAAAGCTTTAGAATTAATAAGATCATTATAGTATTAGTATTTTGTATTGTTATAATATTAATTAATTAAGTTTGTAATTACTTCATTGTTTTATATACACATGTTATTATAACAGTTGTTAAAATATTGTAAAAAGGGCATTGCCCGTTAATCTATAAATAAATAAATAAATAAATAATATAACAAAATCAGTTAAAAAAAATAAGCAGAAAATAAACAGTTAAAATGGTTTGAATGTATGGTTGACTAAATATAATCACTTGGAATCAATAGTATCTGTATACTATATACAATGCACTACTATATAAATGTTATGCATTGTCTACTTAGTATGGGAGCAAAATAAAAATTATTCTACTCCATTAGTGACCTACCAATAACAATATAACATGAATGGGAATATCTACATTGTGAGATAAACAAAAGATATTAAAAATGTTCAATGCTCTTACGTGGTTAGAAGATAATAACAACTTCTCTAGGGATCTTTCGTACATAAATATCTGTAATGGCACGTCGACTAGATCAGAGTTATTCAGATCAATAACATCAATATAATCTTCATAGTGGTGGTTAGAACTTTTCCGCCCGAAACACGATAGAAGAGACATGGTTCATGAACTATGTGTCAAAATGCTTCGGTGAAAAGTGTGTAAATTACCAACGCTAAACATGTTCTTTACACATTCGTACATACGTATCCATTGGTTTGAAAAATCAGCGACCACGACAATTAAAATATAAAAAAACGGTGGACGAAATTCGATAATAATAGACGTATTTTCCGCTTAGTGGGAATCGGTTTCAAAAAAAAGTCTGATAACCGAAAATGATACGAACGAGAAGAAAAAGAAACTGGTTCACGAACGTTCTAGTTCGTTTCCCTGCCCGCCTCCATAACTGCGGTACGTGCAATGCCACGGAGGCTCCAGTCGTTCCAGCAATGATAAGACCCACTTGAATTTTAAAAACTCGAATTCGGTAAAGGTTCTTGCCATCCAGTGCAATTGTTGCGTGATTCTGATTCCCGGGCCCGATTTAAATAGAATCAAATACAGTTTTCCATTAAGTAGATCACTGTTAGATTAAAAAAAAAAAAAAAAACACCGCAAAATCAGCACGCATGGTGTGTCCGTCTAACTAGTAGATCACCGACCAGTCACCGGAATTCGGAATAAAAAATTAATCGCCTGACTTTAAAAATCCGTTTAACGTTGACACAATAACGAAACACAGTGATTAGAGGTAGGTATGCACAGTTTCAATACGTTAGTGACCAGTTTTTTGTTCTTGTTTCGAACCCTCGCCGTAAAACCGCAGGACCGGTGGCGCCGACCAAATTTTGAATGGTCTGGTCAATAGCCACACAATTTATAACTTAAAACCCTCCACACCCAATAACGTACCTACTTTAAAAGGTTGAGAATTCAATCCCTTTCGAAAATGCTTAACCTATTTTAGTATTTATGGTAGCATTTGCGTGCTTAAATGTTTTAAATAGTAATTACTAAATGGGTAGTATTATAATTTATAGTTGGTTTGATTAATTTCACTTACTACTTATTTGTATACTAATCCACCACTCACCACTCTAAAAACATGGTCTAGTCATAACCTGACTTGAACCCCGAATTCAACGCCACTACTGGGCAGGACATTGGTATCGTATATTGTAATTGTTTATAAACGTCTGCTCTCTGCAAAGGGGGTAACGCTACCTACATTATACAAATACCAGCCGATGTGTTTAGTACACTTGTTTTACAGAATTATTTGTGTTATAATTCACAGCCATCGTCCGAGATGGATTTCTTAAATAGGTGCCTACGTCTTAGCATCGTACCCACATAGTACGAAGGTAGGCAGTTGTTTTTAATAATATACAATACGTAAGGGTAACAAATCGTAATACATAAAGTGAAATGAAAGCTTGGTAAAATAATGGGAAACAGTGAACACTCAGTTTATCAAGGGGTTGCAGAACTCTCACGTTTAAAGCACAGTGTAAGAATACTAATATTTATGAAGAAACAACCTAATACGGAAATTAGCAGATTAGCAGATTAGCAAGTTGGATGCAGCTCCGAATACGATTCGAACTACCGGACTAGCACTTTGTTTCATCGCTAGTGAGTATGCTAGCTCAATATGGAACCAATCTAAATATACAAAAAAAAGTGTTGAAAGCACTTAAAGGACTACGAAACAAAAAAAAAATGATTTTTTGCTTTATACTACTGTATAATCTAATAAATTAAAACTAAAATGTTCGTCTTTCATGATAATCAATTTGTTACATCCCCCTTCGACCATTTTATATATTTTGTAGGTCACACTACACATTAATACTATTCTTGAGCCTTCATGAACTGCGTATAATGTATGTCTTTGTCAGTAATTAATTTTAAATCTGAAACTTTTGAAACAAATTTATTCATTAAATGTACGAGTATCGAGAAGATAAGAAAAGAAAAGATAATACAATTTCTATTTTTAATTTTTTATATATATTTTCCATTTAGATTTTTAATACATTTTAATATAATGCCCGATAAAATAAAGATATGCAAAAACATGCAAAATAAAATTTCACATATTTAGCCGTGATACCTTGAAATGAATTTCTATGTCATCTAGCATTAAGTAGGTACAATTTGGCAAGATTGATATGCAAATGCATGAACATATGAGCCCTGAATATAACAAATAAAACCGTGCATCAACATTTGTTGTCTAAAATGAACTATTAGGTTGTGATTTTATTATTTTCATTTTGTTTTTGTGAATACGAATTTGAAATTTATCGTTTTACTTAGTACGATCGACTATTATTGTGATAAATTGCATTCAGTTTGTTTCACGATACTACTCGCACTTCCCTAGCAGTCACACGACCATACGGTGGTGCACATCTCTAAGGTTGGAGATCACTGTATTAGACATATATTTTATCATAAACTCTCAGTAATTTTTTTTATTTAGATTTAGACGTTAGATTTGATTTTCTAATCAAATAACTCAATGATTTATATTAACATTTTAATGCTTTATTATATCAGAACAAATATGGAACAATAAAATATTAAAAATATACATAATATATGATATAAAAAATTTATATTTTTCTTTTTTTTAATAAAAAATTTACATTGAATAATAACTTTATTTGATAATAATGTATCTACACTTCATTTATACACCTAAAGTAAATTTTAATGTATAAAGATAATTTTTATTTTTTTATAATAATTTAATATTATTAATATATTATAATTGCACTTGTGTTGTATTTTTTAACTCTTCGATTAATTTTTCATTTTTTTTTAAGTTAAAATAAAATAAACATTTTATTAACATTTAAGTTATACTTTATTTTTCTTAACTTGATTTTTTTCTATGTATTTAATTTATGTATAACATGTAAAATATATTGTTTTAATAAGTATAATATTTTATACTTACAATAGGTACGTATTATGTTTTGTAAATTACAAGTATTAATGTAGGACTGACTGGATAAAATAATTCACGTAATGATTAATGAATTTATTTCATATTCAGTATTATGTGTATAATTTACAAGATCACTATATTATAGAAGTTTTAAAATAAAAGTGTAGTCTAAATACATAAAATAATATCAAACTAATAATAACAGTTATACATACTTGATATTTTGATTTTTGAACTTTTAACAAAACAATTGTTTATAAAATACATTTTAATTATAAATTAAGACCCAATTGTCAAAAATAAACAAAAGATCATTTTTATGTTTCTCGTTTGAAATAACTAATTCTAATAAATCACTAAGTTATTTTAACTTATAATAAAATTTAAAAAATTATATAAATGAATAAGGAGTTTGAAAAATATGTGCATTTTACTATATCAATAATATTAAATTATCAAAAATACTCCAGCTCAAAAATTAATAAAAATGGTCTTTAAAAATTAAAATTGAGTTTAAATAGAGGTATAAATTATAAATAAATGCATTGAAAATAATTAATCAATATACTTACATTTTTTATAAAAATGAAATTTAATTTGTTTTTATATTATACATAAAATTGTATTTTTAAAATTTTATAGTTTCATACCTAAATATAATAATTTATATTACATCAAAATTGATTGATTTTTTTTCTTTTCTTTCAAGTGACAATCTTTCTAGATGTATTTTCGTTTGCTGGCCGGCTAGAATAAAATAATATTAAATAGAATATTACATACATGATTTTACCAATAAAAACAATTCATATATTATAAATTTAGATTACTAAATTAAATAAAATGTAAGTATTTATTGAATAAAAATACAGTTTAAAATTAATAAAGAAAACTTAAGGTTTCATTATAACAGAATCTTTAATAATAATTTTAATTAATAAATTTAAGACTGGGAGTGATAAATAATAATGTTAAATGACTTTTAGAAGAAAAAATTTGAATACTTATGTAATTTTTCTACTTTTTAACACATGTTGAAAATATATAAAATTATATATTGTATATTTCAATTGAATTACTTTATTATATATTTTTCTCCCAGTAATGCATTCTATATTTCCTTATATATTTTACTTAGTTTTTATGGGTCAGTTTCGAACATTTTTTTACTTCATGATTTTTAGCAAAAGTAATATATATTATATAGAAAATTAAAGAAAATACTCACAGGTTTAATAAAATTTGGCTAAGAGAGATGTTAAGACACCGTTCTACCTATGTTCTTACAGGTGTTGGTTACGATCATACCTTTAATTTTATTATTTTTAAAATTGTATACTTTATTAAATAAATGAAATGTATTAATTATATACTTATATATATGTTAATTGTAGTTTTGTATTATAAAAATAAAATCATTAATCATCAACTCGGTTATTGTGTGTGAAAATTAATTTTAATATAAAAATACCTTTAAAATACGAAACGAGCATATCAGTGTTTCATCAACAGACATTATTGCTGCAGCATTATCAAACTCTCCGCAGTAATTTGGAGCTGAAAATAAAGTAATTAATTGCCGCTTAGCAAAGAACTCGTAACCATCCTCAACAACCTGAAAACAATTGTAACAATTATTAAAAATTGATATTTAAATTCTAGTGTTTATTAACTTGATGAGCTCTGCATATCAGGTCAAAATCATGTTTGTGTAAGAAATCAGTCACAATAGCAGCACCAAATTTAAATGATACACCCCTGTCATAATTTTCACTCCAGCCTATTGTATACTAAAAAATATTACAACAAAACTAATAGTAATTCATAATTAATAAATATTAAATCAAAATTAAAAATTACTTTATCGGGATCCGACCAGAGCAAATCACATAATATACCTTGGTCAGGTACGTTTGTAGGTCTTGTAATTTGTCTAATTTGTTCCATTGATTTCAAATTTGGACTTAGACCACCATGACAACAGAAAATCTTTTCCTCTACTATTGCTGCAACAGGCAAACAGTTAAAACAATCGGTAAAAATTCTCCAAAGTTTAGTATTATATCGACGCTTGCCTGCAAATAAATATTAGACAATTAATTTATTTAAGCATAAAACTTAAAAAAAAAAAATTATTTAATTCTTACATTCATCATAAAATCCATATATTCTATTAATACTAGCACATTCATGATTACCACGCAAGAGGAAAACATTTTCAGGATATTTAATTTTGTATGCCAACAACAAGCATATCGTTTCCAAAGACTGTTTGCCACGGTCCACGTAATCACCCAAAAATAAGTAATTTGAATCAGGCGGAAAACTTCCATACTCAAATAATCGTAATAAATCAGAATATTGACCATGAATATCCCCTTAAAAAAAAAAAAAAAAAAAAAAAAAAACAATAATAAATAGTAATAATAGTAAATAATCAAAGTAATGTAATTTTACTAATATTACTACTTTTTTTTTTATTTAATTACTACATTAAATTATAAATAATGCGAATAACTGAATTACATTAATTCCAAAAATATATTCTATTAAAAATTGAAATTAAATAATATAATATTATAAGTAAGGATTAACCAAATATTGTATCAACTTCTCATGAATAGAAACTTTGCAAGATTTCTATTAGTTATACTGATCTAATATTCTTTTAAAAATTCTTAATCAAGTTTTAGGAAAGGTCAAAATACAACTCACCTAATATTGTACGGAAGGCTTTTGGAATAGTGATTTTTAAAGATACCTAAGAATTTATTAAGCAAACGAAGCATGAATCACTTTGTTCATATAAAAATATAATATACCTCATTAATATGTAAATAATGTAATAATACATACAATACTAAACATTAAAAATAGATTTAATGAATAAATGAAATCAGATAAATATTAACAATAAATTAAAAGCATTAATACCTATAAATATATATGTATATGTATTAGTTTTGGAATAAAGTGTGAAACAATTTGGAACTAATTAAATCATAAATATAGTTAAAATAAAAATTATCAATACTTGACTAGTGTATTGTATCGTTAGATTAATTAACCAAACTTAAGTAACCTAATAAGATAGGCTCACCACATATTTTCAACGGCACTTTGAGTTCCAGAAGCATAGGCTGTGACAAGAATATTTCTCTGGATTCCAGGCACAGATCTCGAATTTCACCTCCAGACAGTTGCACATTTTTAATGGTTTTAGCACCACGCACTGTTGAAAGCGATAAATAAATTAATCGACATCGTACACGGGATGATATCCTAATCAGAACAAAAGGCGACACAAGGAAAAAAAAAAACCCTAACAACGTCGTCATCGTTTGGCATGGTCGACTAGACTCGGCAGCTTACCTTTCAACAAGTTCGATATGATGTTGTCAATGTTCAGTTTATTGCCCATTGTTTAGAATCGGTTTGCGAATTTCCGTTTCGTGACAAATCTAATATTGTTACGTCGCGTTAGTCCGTGTTGTAAACAGTCAATGTTTATGGTCAAGAGTAAGTAACAAAAAGAACACTTTTGTTTACGTTGTCGCGATGATCAAAAAGGAACACCGCACAATAGTCACAAACATCGATTTCGATATATATTTTTTTATACAAGAATAATCTGAACGGTTAGATAAACATATATAATAAAATTATAATCTATGTGTGAACTCGATAAAAACTGAATGAGATAATACTAATAAATGTAGCTTCTTTTATTGTACATGCATTCGACGTATATACACGACTAATCTATCATAGTATATTATAAATAATCATTCCCATACTGCCTGTAGTAGTGACCGAACTATTGGAATTTTTGGTTTCCAGATAAATATAACATGAACGTCAATGTTAAAGGAAAGGTCATTTTCTTAATTTAGAAATAATAATTTAAGATTTGTTAGTTGAATTTTATTTTAATCAAATTACATACGTTTATTATACACATTAATAAAACAATTTTATTTAACATTTTATTTAATTTTATCTAATATTAACTAGTAACAAATATTAATATAAATATGTACCTTATGTATTGGTTGTATTATTGTAATAGGTAATTAAAATCTGCCTTTATTTGCCAATGGTGTTCTCACAATATTTTGTTTTATTTTAGTGGTAATAATGAGAAAAAAATTCACAAATGAAGATTTATTTATATTATACAAGTAAAATAATAGGGATTCTGCTTACAGCGTCTGAATAAAAATGTCTACTAGTTTTGAATAGAAAAAAAAACAAAACGTACAGACTTTAGTTAAATCGCATGGTGTTTTTTAGGATTAATTTTTGCTTTGACAATTAAATTAAAATAATTAGAAAAATAAAAGATCAAGTCACTAAATTCTATCCAGAACTAGAAATATGTAAACAACATTCAAAAATTTTAGGTGTATTATTTGAACTTTAAATTTGGAATTTTCGATTAAATGTTAAACCTAACTATACATTTTTTCTATTAATAATATTATATTATAACACCCACATTTATGAATACAAACTAAACCTATAATTAGTATTATAAACTTTTTTTTTACAGTATTCACTCGGAATCGTTTATTTGAGTGTAATGGTATTAAATTAATTGTTAAATTGTGGTAGATATTATTAATGTACTACGTGATTTTTTTTTGTATTTCAAAACTTTTATAGGTAATACCTATTAGTTTTATATTTGTTAGTTTTGAACTGTTAAGCCACCTCCACACTAGCGTAACAAAACGAAGAACATGTGTTCGTGAACAAGATTCGTGTGTAACAAATAAGTGAACTTGTAACATTCTATCGAACAAAACGGCGATCCGTCAATTGTCGGCATTTCGACATAACATCAAATGATGTTATGCGAACATGTTACGACCAAAGCCGAATTAAGAGAGGTTCTAGCCGGGGCCCTCTCGAGTACCCAAGTGAAAGGGGCCTAAAAAATTTTAAATCGATACACATTTTATATCATACTAAAATTGGTAGTTTTATAGATATAAATTTTATAATTTTATAATGCAATTGACAATTAGTGAAATAGTTAAAAAAAAAAAAATGTATCGTTCTGCGAGCGTAGCGATCGACTTTGTAAAGCATGTTTTGTCAAAAGAGCTCATATAAAATTTCAGCCCCGGGGCCCATCGGTGCTTAATCCGGCCTTGGTTCGGACAGGTATGGACACGTCTTCGAACATTTTCACGAGCACACAAAATTGAACTATTATTATTTATAATCAGTTTTAAGTTTAGCTATACGCGAACCTACGCGAACATACACACATATTTTTTAGTTGTTCGACGAACAGTTTGTCTAACAGTTTGACGAACAGTTCGTCAAACCGTTCGTCGTCTTGTTACGTTAGTATGGACGCAGCTTTAGAAACTTTAAACAAGTTAAGCCTAATACAATTAAGTAAATATATACATACAGATTAAGACTAGAATATATTAATTAATTATTCCATTCGTTCAAATTTCAAATTAATGAAAACACCTTGATCTAAAAACGAAAAGAAAAATCATGTGCTGCAACCACCGGAACATGTAATTATATATGTGAACAATGTTTGATTATTTTACACGAAGAGAACATAATAACAATATATCATTGTTTTAAAATAATTTTATTTGGATATGCATGAGAAAATTTCTAAACATGAATGGTTGATGTAATACTAATAAACTAAGGAAACTTATGCTTAGCATATTTTTTAAACCAAAAAAATTTGATGACAAATGAAGATTGTAAAAAATAGTAATAATAATAATCAGTATAAATATGTGTGTTTTTTAGCTCCTAATAGATGTGAGTTGGGAATCCACGAATGTAGGAAAGATGGAACCCGACAACCTGACATAATTTTAGCTGAGAGTTGGAATTTTCTTGAAAATTCTTGGAAATTATATTCAATAATAATATTGTTATCGTTAAAGTAAATAAGTATTAATAGCATGTAGATTTATCGCTACATAATTATAAATAAATGTATTGCCGTGCAAGCGTATAGTTTCTTTTACACTTTTATACACATAATGTTTATCATAACTATAATTGATATCTAAACTGACTTGTAAAGTATCCATGAAGTTGGCCCTCTAATTAAAAAATATTTATTGCCAAGTGGGTGGTGATTTTTAAATTCTATAAATAAATTTTCAATTATTTGCAATAAATTTACAAAATATTGGCATAGGTTTCGAGTTTATCTGTCAACTTGGTGGGGCTAACTTCATGAATGTTAAGAATTATTGTAATAAATAGGCAAAAATAATAATCAAAAATTAGCTGTATTTAAAACAGCTTGTATAATAAAATTATGCTCTGATAGTAATATCGATCTACTAAATATTCCATGCATGGTGGTGGTTTTTAATTTTGTCTCATACAGGAATAAAAACAAGATTCGTCCTCATTTTACAAGTTCAATGCTCACTTTCAATAGTTATAATTTAATAATTATAATTAATGAAATGTTGAGACTTTATCACTAATGATTGTTGAGAAATGTTATACATCTACGTTTATTACAGACGCTACTTGAAAAATTATCTACATACTTCCAATATATAAAATATATATATTATAATTATGCAATAATAATTGCATGTAAACGTTTAGGTTTTAACTATGAACAAATTACATCAGGCGCACGTCGAACGAAAACATTTTTCTCCACCTAGTGTGAATCAGCATATAATGCCATATCAAAAAAACACTTTTTGGTCTATAGGCTTTATGTAAATCCATAAAGAGAGATATTTTAGATTATATTTCACTGAAATACGGGTTTTCTGTATTATTTATCCACTGGTGTGGACCTGTGTTTGTTTTTAACAATTTTATATTTTTGTGCACAGGCACCTAAAGGTTACCATAAGAAAAAAATCACAAGCTATTAACCAGCTATTAACCAGTGACCAGTAAAGGAGAGGAGATTGGTTGAAACCATGGTCAATGTATAGAGAATACTTGTTTTTCAAATTGTTCGCTTAACGAGGTCATAAATTATAAGTTGACGAGTGGTATGAAATGATATTTTTTGACAGAAGTTTGTTTTAAGTGGAACGCGTGATATTCTACATTTTAACGACAAATTATTAATAATTACATATACCATGCTGATGAAAACAATACAACCAGAGTATCTCTGCAGTACCTACTTAGATAACATTACATCTTTTTACAAACACTATTTAAAAACACTTTTTAATTTAAACACTCTGTACATAAAAAAAATTAAACTCAAACTAATTATGGAGTCTACACTATATATATATATTGCTAGTTATATAACATAGTAAGTTATGTATATAATAATATGTGTATATAAGTACAATATGCTAATTACAGCAATTCAATTTCGTTGTACAAAATGTTTGCCACAGGCCTTCAGAAATTGTATGTGATGTGAAAAGTTCAATTACATAGAAACCAGTGTCCTTTACTAGGATTAAATTGTGTTGATGTAGTTATCAACATACGTATGGCCTCAATTTCCTCAATCAGTGGGTTAAGAAATATTTTCGAATGCAATAGAAAAATAAACTTTCAATATACTTATTTTAAAGACAATGTTTTTACATGTTTCTATCAATTTCTTATTGCTGTTTAACTGTAAATAATTTGATTGTGGTTAGTTTTAGTTTTGATTTATATAGTACATTCTCATCATATGAAATAGAATATGTAGTATATCATTTTATATTACGTTTAATAAGTTATTACTAAATTTTTAACAAATGTTTATTTTAAAATTATTTATTATATTTGTTATTTATATTGCTTGCGTAAAAATATTTGTATTGTGTACTAAATATTATAGATTAACTGATATAATATAAATAAAAAACATTTTTTTTTTAAAGTATTTTCTATGTACACTAATATAGCAATTGGTAGCTGGTAGATATTTTTCTTAATTTTATTTATTATTAGTTATTCTTATCACATTGCCATATTCATATATTTTACAATGGTATTCTTCCAATATATTTTCACCTCTGAAGTTGAACAGTAACAGTAAAAAATATGATTGCATTAGAAAAATATTTTTTGAATTCTTAATTAATATAAACTTGTGGAATAAAAAATCTTTAAAATTTTTAAGATTGAATTTAACAATCTATAATTTATTTATTAATAATCCTTAAAAATAATAATATAAAATTATATGCTATGTGTAGAAAGTACACTAACTAGTATGTACTATATTATGTAATTATTATTAAACATAAAATAAAATACACTTATAACTGATACCAGTAACAGTAATAAATAATTACATTGAATAATTTTAAGTACATAAATTAGGTGGCTTATAATGTTATACTGATTTAATTAATTTTCTTAGCGGTACTTGTATTTGAATTAATTGACAGAAATTGTTTCGGTATCTATTCCAACCCAGTATTCTCCACCATTTTTAGCAACTGTGTATCTATAAAAAATAATATAAATTAATTTTTTACAATACCATTTAAATGATTTTAGTAAAGTAAATATAAATTATATAAATTCTAATAATAATATTTCAGTTTCAAAATACGTAGGCACATCTTTATTATTTGTTTTCTTATGTTCCTTATACTTTTGCATTTTATATTTAGTTAGTTTTAGTTTAGTTAGTTACTCTGTTTTTTGTTTAGCAGCTGAAGTGTTACAATGAAAAAGATAAATCACTAAAATGCTCTTAATATTAATTTTTTAATTTTATGAGTCACTTTGATTGTTAAATTGCATGAATATTTGAAATAATTAAATCCATAGTGATTAAATATTGTTTTTAGGTATTATTTTGTAAATGTCAAGAATTTAACTACATGATGTAGGAAAGATATCAGAAATTTACTAATCTTAAACACATACTAATCAAATAAAAAAGATTTAAAAAAATATTAACATGTCCTTGACAGGTAGACGCTATAGATTAACAAGGAATTAAGTATATTCTTTTGTTACAAATATATAATAGTAAATGATTAAAATAATAGGCTATATCATATAGCCTATATGTGTAGATAATTGATTTTGTCTGCGTATTGACGTATTGGCTAGAGTATTAACGTATTAAGAATGGGGAAGTGTATAAGAACGTGATCTCACACGAGATTTTGATTTCCTTGCAGCGCAATTATTCTTAAAGCGTTATTTGGTTTACTCATGACCTTGCAATGTGGTTACAATCAGTTTTTAGTACATAATAATACAAGAAAATAAATTGATGGTTATAATTATGACCGAGTTTAATGAACTCAAGCTGTGTGGGAAATACATTCTGTTTCTACGAAATATATTTTACACTTGTGCGTTTAAGGTGTGTTTTGTAATAATTATACATATATAATTATTTGAAAACAATGTTATATTATATTTACGTATTATTAATAATATTTCTATATAACCGATAAACCAGTCTTGTTAATTTTGTTAAAATTTAGTTGAGAAATACATGAAACTGGTTTTGTCTTATTCTTTTTATTAAATTAGCTATCGATATCTACTTTAATATAATGTATTTGGTGTAATTTGATGACCTTCCATAATATGGATATTATGTCAACGGATTTTTTTCTAAATATATAATTATTTCGCATTACTAAATAATTTTATATTATTAATATATAACACTGAAGTATTCTACGTATAAGTAATTCAAATTGTAAGTGGAGTACAATTTAAATTACCAAATTACCAAAATTGTTCTTATAGGGAAAACAAAAAAAAAAAATAAAACAATAATAATAACTAATATTCAAATTTTATGGGTATGAAAAAAAACTAAAAGTTACGATTACCCTTAAAAATGTTATCTAGTTGGAAACATTAACTATTGCCATTACAATTGATTTTAGTTTACACAAATACGCTATCCTATTGTTATAATTAGTAGCGCTTATCTGCATAAACATATGCACCATATTTTGCAAGCTGTTTAAACACTGGGTTAATCCAATATTTACGTTTTTTATTTTTTATTTTTCTTCTTTTTAAATTCCACCAGAATAATAAAATATCGTTTTCATCAGACGATGACATGGTTGCTACTGCGTTGCTTATATTTGAGAGCTAGGGGCAATACGTATTGTCTGTTGACTATTGTTAATTGATAGTTTCTCGTTGCCTATTGCTCCGGCGTGAGAGCCGCCTTATGTGTTAAATGCATAAAGTGATGATCATATTCATATTATTCTATAGGTAATTCTATAGGTATGTGGGTATAACGTTTGCTTTCAATTTGATTAGAACAGATTTTCCACAACAGAGACATGATAATAGTTGCCTTTTGTTGAAAATAGATTCCTATTAAGTTGAATGTAAAAGATTTTATTGTATTTTTCTATGAATCTAAAATAATTAAAAATAGCATTTATCTAAAATATAGATTAATATTTTCATATTGAGTATTACATTTCCATAAACTAAATATTACGTAGTAAAATAGATTAATAAATAAATAATTAATTAATGTACCAACTTTCATCAATGTAAAATTAATATTTATAAGTTCAAAATATTTCAAAATTGAAGTAAACCGATATTTCGAATTTAAGTATAATGACCATATATAATTGACGTATATAATATTGGCATATAAGTGAATATTATTTATTTTTTTATTCAAATTTAAACTTAATGAGTAAAAATTATTTATAATATTATATTTTAACGTTATTTTTCTTTATCAATCAATTATAATAAGTTAATCGAATTAATTTTAAAGAAACTTATAAGCCTTGAAGATTGAAACACGATTACTAAAAAAAATCAATAATTGCATCTAACATAATTTACTTATGTTAATTTACTCAATCATGCGGTTTGAAAATTATAAATAATTATTACATAAATTATAATGAAAACTCGTCTCGTTTGAGTATCTAAATATTTTAATTTTGGACAAACCATTACTATGAACAACTGAGTGGAAAATGTGCATTGGCAATAAAAAAAAATGATTCAATATGTATTGTTTGGTATTCATCACTTGAATCTCTAACAATTCGCTTTCATAATTTATTTTATTCATTCAGTTGTCCATTAACTATTCATTTATGTATAAATTACGCACAATTCTTTACACAAGTAGGGTTTTCGATGAGGGACACGCACTATTGCCTAACATTTGAATGCTATTTGCATATTATTAAAAATGTATGTCACATAAAAACAATATTTTTTAAAGAAAATCACTAGCTAATGTATTCATTTGTCATATTATGTTATACTGAATTGCTTACGATTCATACCGGTTTAATATACTACACTCAATAGACAATATAAGCTACACATTAACATATATATAATTTTTTATATTTTATTAGAAAAACTCGTTTAACCACTTCTGCTTTTAGTATTTTGGTTTTTTTTTTAATTTTTATTTAATATTATTTTTATCATAATTCAACCAGAAATAATACTTACTTAAAATTGAAATTTTTGTTCAGATTTTTTGGTGCGATCCATGTGAGAACTACTCTTGATTTTTCCATTGGATTGACATGAGTTGCAGTGTTCTATATTTTAAAAACAAATTAGTATAAACATATTATTTTACCATAACGATGTAACAAAATTGAATTTTTAAACAAAATATTACTACAAATTTGTTGATAGTTGGTAGAAGTTATCATTATTTATACAATTTTTTTTTTTTGTTCAAGAAAACACTTTATGTTAGCAATGAATATTACAGATAAGTTAAATTTTTTGGGTTGATAATATTATATTAGATGTATTGCTGAAATTTAGGAAAATTTGCATCACTGGTACCTATGTCCCATGTCTAAATACATATATTCAATATATATATATATTATACACATTATATAATCATACCTACCAGATTTGCGTTTGTAAAAAAAAAATAAAAAAATAAAACACATTAGAATAAACTAATACAGCAGACAATATTATTATATATAAACCTCCGGAACGCATTTTATAAAAATCGCAAATAAAATCAAACACCGTGAGCGTGTTCACATGCGTGTTTATCAGATTCGTCGTATCGTTTACCTACTTAATCTAATTCGGTGATATTTTTTTTTTCACTCACGTTAGCCGGTCCTTTGGGGCAAGTGATCAGCTTCCATTTGCCTTTGAATTCGTTATTGCCCTTGGATACGGGCAGGGGCGCGAACGAGCCCACAGGAGCTCCGGTGCTGTCTCTGGCTTGAACCATGAAGCCTTTGAATTTGGACAAGTCTTTGGCGGCTAGAGTCAGTGTTATTTGTTCACCACCTTTTACAGTCTTTCGGTTCGGGGTTAGTGTGTAAGGTGAGGGTGTAGTTTGTACAGGTGCTCCGTGCTGCGGCAACATGTCCTCGCATACTTCCGTTGGCGCGCCAGATCCGTAGCTCTCAACAAATGTCAAGTATCCGGACACGGCCAGTGACACAAACAAAGTAGCTAATTTTGCGTTCATCTTGACTGCCCAACACACATAAAACAACACGATCGTATACAATTTTACGAGTATTTTGCACAAAATTAAAATTAAAATCTTGTTCAAACAAATCGATTTTATTATACGCGAATAAATATGATAGTTTGTTGTACAATGTGCATAGGTTACGATATGTACATAACATTCAAACAAATATCTAAGGTAGAATTATATAGAAAACAAGTACATTTAGATACATAAGATACACCTATTTACCACAGATATTTTTATTTTATACCACTTTACTGAAAAAGTAAAAACATTTTGAATAAAAGTTTTTCTCTCGTTTTATTTTTTCTAAAAATAATTTAATTTTCATTTTTAACTATATGAATGAATACCTGATAGTTAAGATATGTTACACGTTAAATAAACAATAAAAAAATCGTTTTTTAAATTACTTTAGTCAAACATGTTAAGAAGAATTTATTTCTAATGAATACAGTGTTTATTTTCAAGTATTATGGTGGAAATAATTAAAAGACAATAATAAGTACATAACTCAATCGTTTATTGACTCTTAACAACTATCAAGTATGTATGTATATGTTATATTATGTTATATCAATCGATATTATTTAACTACTTTTGTTTTCTACGAACCGCTGACTTCCTTACATACCTACTTAAATTGTTTTTCATGTGGGTATTAAATACAAATTTTACTTTAAATAGGTATTCACATTTACACATTTTTTTTTATATATGTAATATTATGTTACATATCATATTATAACACCTATATTTATAAATTTACAACCAGTATTTAACTGATTATCTTAAAATCATATTTAAAATTATTTTCTAAAAATGATTACAAGCAATAATAGCAAAATGTAAGAATAATAATTTATGCTCTGGTATATTTACTCAATCGAATTTTTTCTTTGTCCGTGAATTAAACGAATCAAATATACGAAAAGTTTATTTGACGTTTATTCAGTATGTACATTTTAATAAAATTTAAATAAAAAAAAAATAAATATGAGTATATTGGTTAAAATGTTTTACAGACAAAAATGCCCAAGATTAATTTAGCAGTTTCACAGTTCTTATAAAAATGTGAACTTTCATAAATAAATCCAATATATACAAAGGTAAAATATACTGTTCATAATGATTTAAAATAAGGTACCATTACGGCACCCGAAGTAATTTATAGGTTATTATTAATCAGGTATAGGTATATCATTGCTAAAGCCTAAAACAATACATATTACCATTAAAATCTACAATCTACATTTCAAATAGTATTATTAAAAAAGAAAATTAAGTTTTTCATCATACAATGTTAAATTTTACATTTCTTAAATAAATCTAAAAAAATTTCAAAATATATTTAATTTTATGATATAATAATCATGTTATATCAATAATATCAAGTAGCTGCGGAAAATCATGTTTGAATACCAAATATTATAATAACCATAAATCATAAGTACTATAAAAATAATTATTTAGTTAACTATTACACATTTATATTATTAATCGTATAATACGTTAAAAAGAGCAACAAGAAAAACAATTATTATATTTAATAAGTACTTATATAAAGTATTTAAAATTAATATGAATTATGTGTATGAAATATATAATCTGGTAGGTATCATATTATGAGATATGTCGATATTCGATTTATTTTATCATAAAAACCTTTAGATGTTTAGATATTTATTACTTTTTTTTTTAGCTTTTATTTATAAATCTAGCTCAACAATTAAAAAATTAGTTTTTACTATGCAATATAAATTTGAATAATATAAAATATAAGAAAAAATAGAGAATACTGTAAATCAAAATTTATAAAATTGTTTCTGTTGATGTATTAAAAAAAATTGTACAATACTGAAACATGTACCTATTTACGATGATTCATAAAATATGGGTAGTTAGGTATTATCTATATTTATATTGATCAAAATTATATTTTAACAATATATAAATATTTTTTAAAAAAGTTTTTATTAATCTAAAATAGTTATATTAATGTAGATATGTTATTTTTAACATATTATATTACCTTTTGTTGAGTATCAAAATTACAAATCGAGTAGTGGAATATACGGTATCCAGTTGAATACTGAAGTAACTGCGATGGTACTTTTGTCTAATATAACATACTATTAGGATAGTTACCACACAAAGAATACACAAGCACAGTCGCGAAAAGAAAGGGAATTTAACCTTCGTGGAGATTGTTTAATAATAATCATTATTGATTTATACCCGAACAGAGGATATATGTCTACAGAACATCTAGAATAACTCGTTATGAGTGAGGTTTCCACTGAAACTCTTCATGCAAATATAAAATTATTATTCGTCTTCATATTGCTGTAGACTCTCTTGTTAGACATGTATCTATAAGTCATGTTACATTTATTCAAATTAATATGCCTGTACTAAAAAAAAAAAAAAACACCAATGACCTACTACAGGTATACCTAATTATATATTTATTACTTATAACTTTATTTTATTGATGTAGGTATACAAATTAATTTTTTTTATATAATTATTAGTTACATGCACTAAGTATTCAATTGTTAAGAATTGTTCTCTTTACTCGAGAAAGGTCGTTTTTTAAAAGATTACACAATTTATATATTTTTAACAATATTCAATTCATTATGGTTATTATAATAAATATTTTTAAACATATTATACATCAGTACGTCATCGTATTAAATCAATTGGAACCTATTTAATCATACACCATTTGTAAATATTATACATGCTATTTTTGAATTTTATTTATTTACTTCATAAGTAAAACATAATAAACTTTTTGAATTTCTTAATCTAATGTATTTTATTAATGACACTATTTTTAGATTGGCTTTTCCCCTCATTTATGAAAACTAGAATTGTACCTATAAAATGAAAAACTGTGCTTATAATAATGCTTAAATGTTGTTAACAACATAAAATAATCCAAAACTAAGCGTGTACTGATTTGGTACATCAAATTATTTACTGACGAATAGTATTGGAAATACTTCTGCACGTTGTAAAAAAAAATATTTTTTCTTGTACAGGTAAATACTGTTCATATGCATCTACAGAGTAAAGAGAGAAACAAGTAAAGTATAGAGTATTGAGCACTTATATACACGTATCGTTCACCTTGGCGCAAGACAGTATTATATTAATTTAAATTTGAAAGCAATGATAAATCACAGCTATAAAACGTTCTTGAATTTTATTTACATACAATTTATCAAGAGTTTATTGAAAATTAGTGTGTTATTTGTTGTGCATTACACATGTATGTATAGACTTTGCCAAATTGATGGGTAAACATTCGATAATAATAATTGACTCTTTATTAGTATATTTTAATAAATAAAACCAACATATTTGTCTACTAATTACGTAAAATTTATAAATAAAAAATGATCAAATTTTCTGGGAAACTAACTCTCACTTTGATGTTTAAAATCGGAACACTCGCAACTACATATTCTGAAATCATACATTGCAATTTATTGTAATATGTATGTACATAAAATATTATTTGATCGTCTTAAAATCCAAAACAATGTTAAATTTGTTTACTACAATAGTTATATTTATACGTTATAACGTCCATAGTTATATTTATTACATAAATTATATTTTATATTATATTTTTATTGGTTCATTAAATTATAATGATGAGCATTTGATTATTTTTTCATTTGTTTTATTCAAATAATTAACAACCTCATTCTTTAATAAAATTAATCGTGCTATTCACACTAGTCACTTTTGTTAATCAATTAGCTAATTCGATTTTGTCGAGTGCAATTATCCAATTAATATGTTTTTCTGAATACTTTTGATTAAGTTAGTAATCTTTGGTTTAACAGATTCTACGAGGACACCAAATAATTTTAAATGTAATGTTAGTTGCAAATTCAATCGATTTTGAACGTTTAACCTAGGAACCTTAAATTATTTTCAGAATAGAGAGTTATTTAATTTTTTATCTATACTTATATAAAGTTAAACTAGATAATAAGTCATTAAACATATAATATATTCATTGATTATAAGACATTAATGTATAAGTAGATATATGTTAATTTGTCTTATGATTTGTCGTATGATAAATTTAATGTAAACATTTGAATACAATTAATACTAAATAGATACTGACTGAAAGTTTTCATAGAAGATTTAATTTTTATATAGCTGTTAGTGTAATTGAATTTTATATAGTAATACTAGTGTTATTAGGTTTGAGTTAAAATCATTAGTTATAAAATACAAAATTAGTTCAAATACATTATTTTGCACCTACCAAGATTACATCTTTAATTCCCAATCCACGTTTATACATAGTTTTATGAATATGGATCTAACACAATATTCTGTAAGATTCAAATTACTTCATATGCCTAAACAGGTAATCCGTCTATTAATTAAATGCCACGTCATATAGTTTTACAGATATGACCTTAAACTGTACTTATAGCTACTTCCGTAGTTTAAATGTAATAACTAGGAAACACAATTCAATCCGTATAAATGAGTAAGTAAACTCTTTAAAGTGTTGTTAAATATTGAACGAGTTTCAAAATACGTGCATTATGTACATATTTGTTTATTTATCAAAAGGTATAATTTATTGATATTTATAAAATTGTATTATAAATGTATGTTAATTACATTGAAAATGTGTAAAAGTAAAATGGTTCAAGTAGTTTTAAATAGAAAAAAAGTAGTTGTTTACCTAATATCAAACAGTTCATGGAAACAATTATAACCCAATCGTAGTATATTATGTAATATATGCAGAGTTTTTAGGTTTCTCGTTAAACTATCCCTATACGTGGAATAATTTAATTGTTTATTACATAGGTATTCATCAGTTATTGTTGATTTTATTTATTTTTATAACTGTTTCGAACTAAACTGTATTATGTTTGTAATAAATCAATCGATACACTGAGTTTTTAGTTCAACAGCGTTAGCCAGTGCGCGGACTCGTGCGTACATGTGTGTATGTATAAAAATAATTTATGTTTCTCGTAAAATGAAACGACGATCAACAAGCCTTTTGCGGTATAAATTATTGACTCCGGTTGGTTAGTTAGTGTGTATAACCTCTGTCCGTCCTCGCACAAGTGTTATACTGTACGTTATTTTCACTCCGTCTGTAAGTGTCCTATGTAGAAATATAATCAGATATTCTAAGATGATACAAATTTTGTTGTGTTCATCTACTACAAAGAATACGCTCATTTCTTCCGTCCAAAAGTGGTGACGATCGTAACATTTAATATTACATAGGTAACATATTTACGTACATATGGTGTTGAATGATTAGGCGGAGGAAGTAATATGAATATATAACATATTCAGTGAAATTAATATATTTATTTGATTATTATACTATCATTATTGGAATAATAATTAAAAAATTATGTATTTCAAACCAAATTTTTATTTAATAATCAATAGAATCATATCAACAAATATAAAGTTTAAAATATATAAATCAATGTATATAGGTAATCGGACCCATTTCATAATCTTAATAATTAAAAAATAATAATATTTCCTCTAAAACAAAAACAAAGTGATAAAATAATAATATTGCAAATTTACTTACCTATGTGAATACATATTGTTAAAAGTAAAAAATATTCAGTCTATAAAATATCAATATACGTAGGTATATAACCAAATTTTTCTCAATTAAATTAATGTATTTTCAATAAAATATTTCTATAACGAGAGGACCACACTTTTTATTTTATATAATTATTTTATTTATATATTTTATTATTATTATTGTTATCATGAATCGTAAATCATTATTCATAAGCAGGGCTCGGAAGTTTTGGCACTAAAAATGGTAATTTTTAGCTCCTTAATAAGCACTAAAAAACTCCAAAATATGCGCTATAAATAGCACGAAAAATCAAAAGAATATGCATTTAACTTGAAAAAATTATAATTATAAATTTATTACAAAAAAAAAAAAATAAAACGTTATTATTTATTAATAATTACATTTGCCAATTACTGTACTGTTATATAATTATTATACTGTTTTATAAAACGTTTATGTTCATTGACGGTTCAGGGACTGGTTGGACTGGTTGAATTAAAACTGTTAACAAACATGTTAAATTATTTAATTATACGTACTTATAATTAAATTAATTCATATATTTACCCTGGATTATTAAATGTTTTCGTAAATTTTCGAATTTGAAAGACCTGCGGTTATTTGATAGTACAGTCTTGTAAGTAGAAAATGACCGCTCAACGTCAACGGACATTATTGGTGCGTACTTATAAAATACCAAGTCATTACAGTTTAGATCTTCAGGTAGCCCGTCTAGATTTTCAGATGTTTCTTCACCCGTTAAAATATTAGATATTTTTATTAATGCCGACAAACCATGATTTTTTTCAAGAACTTGGTGTAACTTTTTGTTCACAGCTTTCCCTTTCTGATCCCTCAAAGTTTCAAAGCTTCTTTTTATATATTGAACTACTTTAATTGACTCGGACAATGGTATATTTTGTTGTTGTAAATTATCAATATCCATAGTTAATTTAACAAAGTTTTATTTAATGTACGTAAGATTATTTTCTAAACCAAGTTTTACAATATAATGTTGTGCATCTCTTATACTGATTGCTTCGTTTTTATCTAACATAAAAATAACATGGTGTATAATCTTGAAATTTTCACAATAATATACTGCGGCATTAATCCAACTTCCCCAGCGGGTGAGAATTGGTTCTGGGGGTAATCTTATGTTTGGTGCTTCTGTTTTAAATAGTAGTAAACGACTTGGTGCTTTTCTAAATATTTTTTTCACTCTCGAAATGATTTTGTCGACAGTACTAAATTGATCTCTTACTTCTTCCACGACCCTGTGGAGCCCATGAACTGCACATGTTACGTGAATCATTTTTGAGTAAAACGATTTCAGAACTTCACCCGCTTTGACCATGTAAGGTGCGGCATCGGATAAAAACAAAAGCACGTTATCATGGTGGATACCACCTGGCCATAGTATATTCATTGATTTATCAAATAGTTTACATATGGTAGAATGGTTAGCTTTATCCAACTCATCAGAATTAAGTAAAAAAATTTCACCTGAACGATGTTCTTCAAGA